TTGGCCCCCTGCCAGTCAAAGAGCTCTCTCCTCCTCTCCTCTGGAGGTCCCTTTGCTGAGCTCATCTCCCCCAGTCTCCCTCTGGCCCTCTCTCCCACCAGATTCCCCCAGGAGGGGGGCCTCTCTGCCCCTGCTCTGGGGATTGTGCTCCAAGGTGGAGGGGCCAGGCCTCACCAGGGAGGGATTCGAGCAGGGTTGTCCAGCTGCTTGAGGTTGAAGGCATGCTTAGACACCTGCCGTACTTCCCCATCCCACGCCTGTACCTCCTGCTTGCGGGAGGCCGAGTCAGCCGACAGTAGGGCCTCCACCGCACTGGTCACCTGGGGGAAGCAGAGGATCAGAGACGGTCCCCAGCCCGCCCCCCTCCCACGCCCCTCCAGCCCCTCCATCTCCAGCTTTCTCAGTGGCTTGCCCAAGACATCACTGCTTGGGCCTCTGCCTGCCCTAGAGCTCCTGGGAGGGTGGGAAGGTATTCGCACCCGATCTCTGACGAGGTCAGGCAGGCCCCCCAACCCATCCCGGGCAATCTCCAGGTAATCCGGCAAAATGACAATCTTCACATCCTCATCATATTCAAACTTCTCCTCACTGAGGTCAAACCCGCCTTCCATACCTGGTGAAACAGGGAAGAGAGAGGGTGGGACAATCACCACAAGTAAATGTCCCTCCTCTGATACAGCATCTCATTTTGTCCCCTCCACTGATCAGGCCCATTCTTTTGGGGGTTGCCAGCACCTCTGAGAGCAAAAGAGACCAGCTCAAGAGGAGGAGGACTCTAACAGTGCTCACCAATAGCCAGCCGGGTGGGCTTCTTACGCGGGGGGTCTCCAGTGCCTGTAGTGGTGTCCTCCTCTTTCTACAATGAGGCAGGAAGGACAGGATCAGCAATGAGTACCAGGGAAGGGACAAGTGGGGAGGATGGACAGGGCAGAGTCGATTAATCTTGGGAGGGAACGGAGCTTAAAAACAAGACAAAACAAAAACACACAACACGTGTGCTGAGTTCTAATGATACAAACAGAAATAGGTGGGAAACTGAGGCCAACGGGAGGTCAGAATGGATGAGACAGATTCCAAATGGAGGCCCAGTAGCACGTGCCCAAATGTCCCCAGGCCTTGCCCCCACCCTGTCCCTACCGGGCGCCGGGTCCTCCGGAGGTGCAGGTAGACTCGCTGGCCCGTCTTGTTGAAATGTCTCTCCACATACTGTTTCCCAAAGCCCAGGAATGTGTTCATGCAGATGTAGAGGCCACCCTCAGACTCCTGCAGCGCAAGAGGTGGGGACAGAGCACAGGGAGGATGAAGCCTGGCTAGGTGGGGAAACCAAGACCCAGGGCCACACACTGCCTGTTTCCAAAACAATGGTTCTCGAGCACCATGTGGCTCCCAGCAAGTCATTTAGCCTTTCAGGCCCTGGTACGGGGTGAAGATTCTTCCCATTCTCCACTGGCTTTGATAACAACCAAGAAGGACCCCAGGAGCTGAGCAACACCTGTCAATCACATTCCTCTTCCTTCCGGTCTCTTCTTTGGGCTTTGGAGCTTTCCAATCAATTGTAGAGAACTCCCTTTACCTCCATCCTTGAGGTAAATGGAAATCAAATACCATGGACCTCCAGTGCTAGTGCTTACATTCAGAAGGAAAAGGGGTCCTTTCCTGGGAGAGGAAAGACCTGCATGTCAGACACGGAACCTAAACCAGGGACACAATGACAAACCTTGCCTAATCTCCAGGACCAGAAAACTTTCCAGACTGGAGGAGCAGAGATTCGAGTACCTGAACAATACACCCAACTCCTGAGCTTGCCAGCAAGCCCAGACTTTTCTTTTACCACACCCTACAAGGGTGTCAGACCTTGGTCCACACTGAGAGAGAACTCTCCTTTCCTGCTAAAGCCTGGCTTCAAGGTAACAGTGCCTTATCTGGGGCTCACTGCTATACTTGGGCCCAGTTCGACCCTGCTGCCTTCCTTTTGACCAATAACTAAATCCCCACTCTAGTCCATCAACTGCCAACCTCAGAGCCATTCCCCCTGTAGAAGAATCTAGCAACACCTTCTGAGACAGTTAATACACATAAAACCCAGGAAGAAGACAGGGAAAGACAAGGGCCCAACCTAAATCACAGCTAAGGAGGGAGGATGGGCTGCTCTAAAATGCAGCAAATCTGCTAGTGCCTTTGTGAACAGTGATGGATAAGGTGGAGGAGGTAACTGGAGAAAACAAGAGTCTTCCCTCGGATTCAAGTAACGACAAGCATCTTCTTCCTTGAATAAATGCCTCACTGGCCTTGAAAAATTCTCTGCTGTGATACGAAAAATAGGGCATCGTCTAAGGCAGTTCCTGGTCCCATACACTGCTCTGTACCACTCCCTAGAACAGTATGGATTACAATGTTCATGAGCAAGTGGAGCATTTTTCATCAGGGAGATCTAATAAGCTCTCTTCTACCACGAAAACCCAATTTGAAGATAATCAAACATGCCTGAAGTCGGTTAGGAAAGCAACTAAGCCACACTGGAGATCTCCTGACTTGGGATGAGAGAAGGAAAGTATAATAAGCTTACAAAAACACCACTTGGATATTTGAAGCAGTTACTAAGGAGAGACAGGCAGGAGTGTGAAGAGGGAGCCACTGACTTCGACCATCTGTTGGTAATTAAGAAAAACCTTTCTCTCCTGAGAAAGACAGTCCTTCACCAAGCCTTGCACTTGATGAACTGGGTGGCATGTCAGAGCTCGACGGTAACCGAACTCCTGCGTTGGAAATAAAAAATGCTGGTTTTCCCAAGGCTTGGGAACCCTCGAGCACTGCTCTGAGCCGTCCTCTTTTAGCTCTGCCAAAGCTAGACTCCAGAGAAGCAGCACATTGTCTGAGGCTCAGATCAAAGCCTAGCAAACCAAGCAAACCACAAATCACAGTGATGATACCGAACTGGGTCTTAGATCATGTTGCTATCCTCAGCACTGGCGATGCATTAATGAAGCCTTTCCACTCTGACTTGCAGTTTTCCCAGCCATGAGCTGGTCTGGCTGAACACCCTGGGCAGGGCCCAGCCGCCATGGGTCGGGAGGGGTGGTGAGGGGGGCGGGTCCCAACCAGGCTGCTGCCCTCTCAGTTCAGGCTCTGGCCAGGCCAAAGGCTAGTCTCTGCTTGGTGGTGACAGGGGACGGCAGAACTGCAGGAAGGGAGGTTCCGGGTGGAGCCTGCAAAACGTGAAGCATGGTGTGGGTGGAGGCTTTGTCTAACTAGTCAGGAGTGGGAGCAGGTTGGGAATGGGGTCTTAGTATCCTCCACGAAAAACACCTTCTCTCTGGGAATACTTTGAAAAGGGCCCCCTCTGCTCTCTGTGACGGGCGGGGGGGGAAAAGAGACGGGGGTGGGGCCCCAATTCACCTCAAAGGAGAAACCACTAGAGCTCTCCTCCCTTCTTTCCTCTCCTCCCTACCAGCAATGACCCACCTCCCCGCCCCCTGTCCACATTAACCATGGGTGGAGTCTCTCTAACTAGGCCCGTCTCAGACCCGGCCTTCTTCACGGTCACTTCCAGACTACTAGGCGCGTAGCAACTGCAGTCCCCACCCTCCAGCCCTCACCCAGGCCCCGAACAGTGCGGGGTCGCCCCATCCCTCCCACACCAGACTACAAAACCCGGGGAGCCGTGCGCGGCAGGCAAGGCCAACTCCCAGGCTTTCGCGGGGGTCCACTTGGGGGATGTAGTCCGACGATCGGGATGCACCTCTACCTTGGAACGGCAATGAGGGGAGAGAGCGACTACGATCCCCACAGTGCTCCACGAGACCGGGAACGGGTGAGGCGGGCGCGGTGGCTTCCGGGGGTGGTAGTCCCACGACAGCTCCAGCTAACTAAAAGCAACGGCAGGGAGGAGCGTGGGAGACTACAAGTCCCATGGTGCATCGCAGGGAGGCGGTAGCTCAAGCCTTGCAGGCCCCGGCAGAATGACCAGGGCGATGGAAGAAGTCGTGCTCGCTGCGGGCGTGGGGAATGGGCTTACCGGTGTGTCGAAGGAGAAGGCGCACTCGTCTTTGTGGACCCGGTCTCCCGCTTTAGGAACCCGGATCGTCGGTAATACTGACAGCAGCGCCTCCTCACTCAGCTCCGCCATGACACCGGCAGCAGCTCCTCCACACACAGCGGCTCCCACCGTTCCCAGTCCCCCACCCCCTAGGCTTGCCGTCCAATGAGCACTACTCGTTAGGCGCATGCGCTAAAGGGAAGACGCGCGAGAATGGCAGTTGGACGCCGCCTGCCTACTAGTGCTCCGCCCTCTGCCCTACTCCTGACTAACGCCAATGAAAAGCGCCTCTAACGCAACCGATGGTCGAAAGAACCAATCCCGCTCTCCCAGGGCAGAGCGCATGTAGAACAGCGAGGTGCGTCCCGGAGTTTTGGATGCTCGGACTCTGGGACCCCGACGGCCCCCTTCGCGTGTCTTCTATCAAAGAGCAGAAACAGACGGTTGTTTAAACCAATCAATCCCAGAAACTTTCCTGGGCCCTGCCCAATCGGAAAATAGAAGGGCAGTTGTATTTCTTGATATTTGAAAAGGGGCTGCCCAATGAGGCGGAGTCTGAGAGGGCTGGTGAAGAGCGATTGATAATGCTGTCAACCAATAAGGGTTACCGCCTCTCTCACCTCAGAAAAACCCTCAACTACCTCTCCAGCTGAACCTGTACAAAAGAGCTTAAAAATTCAGAATTTTTTTTAAATAAAATCATTTGGTTTTGAAACTGAAGCGAAGACTAGCACTCCTCAAAGTCTCAGGACGGACAACTCGCGACTCGCTGCGGAACAAAAGTCCCCAGCTCCGGCAGGCGTCCGCCCCGGCAAGCCGAGCTGCCGCTCATTGGCCCCCCCCCACGGCCTCATGATAGACGTCGTCCTGGCCCAATGACTCCCTGCGCCGGAGGCGGGTCTCACACACGGGCCTATAGGAGCCTGCGGCGGCTCCACCAATGGAATCAAGGCAGGGGGCGTGGCGGGAGGTTTGAAACTCGGCGTCGGGAGTTGAGGCTCCAGTTCTTGTGCTCCCAAAAGAGGAATCGGGGCCCGGTGAGTGATTTGGATAAATTGAGGAGTCTTTAAGAGGGCCCGGCAGGCCGGAAAGAGCCGGCTTGGCATCTGCACCAGCCATCATCTATCTCCACAGAGGCCTCTGGCTCAGCGGCCCGGAGGCTCCTGGGCGGGGAACCGGGAAGACCGAGTGGTCTGGAGTCACAGGTCGGACGTGGTCGCGGAAATGGCTGAGATCTGAGTCATTTGTCACAGGCATCCCCTCCTCGCCCCGGGCCGGGCCCTGCCCCACCTTATTCCTCCTGGTTGAGATGGGCTCAGCCAAGAGCGCCCCAGTCACTCCGGCGCGGCCCCCGCCGCACAACAAGCTTCTGGCCCGAGTGGCGGACCCCCGTTCACCTAGCGCCGGCATCCTGCGCACTCCCATCCAGGTACTCTGGGCCGGGTTGGGAAGGCAGAGTCGGGATTCTTGGGCCTCTGCTGACCCTGATTCTGAGAAATCCCTTGAGCCCTCCTCCTTCTAACCTGGGGCCTTATTTTCTACTCTCTTAATCCGGATGGGGTAGGCTGAATGCCTAATGGCCTTGGCAGTGCCTCTCTGGAATATCATCCTGGGCCTAGAGTCCTGGGAAGGAGAAAGAATCAGGGTCCAGACTTGTTTTAGCTTTTGGTTCTGCTAGGTGGAGAGCTCTCCACAGGTAAACCTACCAGCAGGCGAGCAGCAGGAGGATCCTAATCAGGCCCAAGACTCAGATCCCCGCTCTCCTACCCTTGGTATTGCACGGACACCTATGAAGACCAGCAGCGGAGGTAAGTGGTGGGTCCAAGGAATTGTGGTAGGGCTGTCACCTAGCATCCTTGGGTTGGGCCAATGAAGCCCTCTTCTCAGAGCTCCTCCTTAAAGGAGCCTCCTTCCTCTTGCTTTGAACCAATCTTGCTCTTCTCTCAACATTTCTCCCTCTTACCTTGATTTCTCTCATCCCAATCCCTCACCCACCAGAGCATGAATCCTATAGTTCCTGTATCTTTTCCTCCTTTTTGAGTTATTTGTATCATAGGGTCACTATTTCACTTTACTTCTCCCCTCTAGAGCCCCCAAGCCCACTGGTGAAACAGCTGAGTGAAGTATTTGAGACCGAAGCCCCCAAGTCGATTCTTCCCCCAGAGCCTGTTCTGCCCCTAGAGGCAACTTCATCTTCTGAATTGGACTTGCCTCTGGGCACTCAATTTTCCCTTGAGGACCAGATGCCACCCTGGAGCCAGACTGAGCTCCCCTCCAAGCAGGTTTTTCCCAAGGAGGAAGCAGGACAGCCCTCAGAAACCCCCATGGCCAGCCAGGGCTCGGACAAGCCCTTGAGAGACCCTGAGACTCCCCGATCTTCAGGTACAGGATCTAAGGGCAAGGTAGAGGGAAGAGAAATCAGGATAATGTCCATGCATGAGTAGAGGAGGAATAAACTGTAAGCCCCTAATTTTGGCTTTTGGCTTTAACTCCTGACCCACCCTAGGTTCTAAGCACAATAGACGGAAAACAAATGGCAAGGCACTAGGGAGATCTCCCCTCACCATTCTACAAGATGACAACTCCCCTGGAACTCTACCACCACGGCAGGTAAAGGGAGAGAGTGTGCAAACTATTACTAAGAAATCCAGGGTAGAGGGAGGGAGGCCTTTTACCCAATCTTCCATCTCCTGAACAACGTCCCTCCCCGCTCCAACTCACACACTGCTTTTGGCAGGGTAAGTGGCCTTCTCCCCTGAGTGAAAATCCTAGGGAACTAAAGGAAGGGGCCTCTCTGGGATCTGGTCGACTTCTGAAAACTGGAGGCCGAGTGTGGGAACAGGACCAGGACCAAGACAAGGAGAATCAGCACTTTCCAAACTTGGTGGAGAACTAGGTGCGTGGCCCCAGTGCTGGGCTCACCAGGGGCCTAGTGACGTAGCATCCCTTCAACCCCATCTTTCCCTGGAAGACGGGAAAGGCTCGACCCCCGCTGAACTCACAGCTTGGGGACTGAGCACTTTCTTGGGCTATCTTTGTGTCTCACGTGTTTCTTGTATATTAAAGAAAGTGGTTTTAAATGATGTTTTTAAGTGTTACACCTAAACCTTTCTGTATATAGAAAAGCAGCCAGGGAAACTTGGGTTCCCTGACGTCCAAGTCGCTTTCACACACTTCGCTTAAGTCCTGGTGTGCCCCAGAGCTCTGTCCTTGGCCTTTTCCTGTTGCTATCGCCTACTTATATTCTGGTAACTTCCAGGTCTTTCCAACTAGCCCTGACCTTTATCCAACTGCCCCATAGGCACAATAGAGTCAGTTTGTCTAAGGTTGAATTTGTGCTCCCCCGCCACCAAGGTTATTCCTCATTCCCTATTCTCTATCCCTGGGAATACTGGCCTTATCCACCCAGTTGCTCAAACCTAAACCTTGACCATTATCTTGAATGCCTCCCTCCTAATACCCCATACCCTAGCACTTGGCACTAAATCCTGTTGTTTCTATGTCTTTCATCTCTTTCCCAACCCTTTCCTTGCTTCCCTGTCCTACTGCTCTTGATTTTTTGCCCTCCTACCTTGTTTCCCTCCAGCCTCCCTTTCCACAATTTCATCAACCTACACTGCAGCTAGGTTCTGAGAAGCACAACTGACCGTGTGACTACTCTGCTCAGAACTCTTCAGTGGTTCCCTTGCTGCCCTTAGGATAAAGTCTCCGCTGGTATTCAAGGTCTCCTGTAATCTGATTCCTTCTCAACCTAACCTTCTTAAACACACACATACACAGCATCGGCCGGTTGTAGTGAACTGTTGGGCATACGCTCCCCTGGCCCCCTGGTGAATATCTCCTCCTGACCCATCTCAGGCCTCCATGAGGCTTGGGCTTCTGCCTCCACCCAAACTTTCTGCTCACAGGCTGTTTGGTACGCAGCCTTTATCAACTGCGCCTGTAATACTTTATTACTTAGGTTGGTCCTATGTCTTCTTGGAACCGAAGTGGGGCAGAAGCCAAACATCACAGACATAGTAGGGCGCTACACTTTATTGTCCTTTAGGTCCTTTAGGAGGGAAATAAAGGGAGAGAAGAAAAATCATGAGGAAGGGGGCCAGGATCCTAGTGATGCCAGAGCCATAGTCACAAAGCTGACACCTCTGCCACCCAGGTCTGGACAAAGTTAGTGGCTCCAGGGAGGAATTCTAGGGCGTGGGGCCTCAGACTGGAAGCCTGCTAGGCCTGCCAAGGGCTGAGGAGGGATCAGTTGTCCTTGCTCATTAAGGGAGAAGCTGCAGGACCATGGAGAGGGGAGGCCATGGGAGGAGATGGAGCATTTCTTTGCCCTGTGTCCCTGATGCTGTCTCCCAAAGGCATACTCCCCATTTTCCCCACTGCCCTCAAAGGACAAAGCTGGGTGGGAATGGCAGCTGGGGTATAGAAAAAAACAATAAAGAAACCTCAGAAGAAAAATTGGGCAGGGGAGGGGAGGGGGTAGCTGAGTGTCTTCATGGCCTTTTACCTCCCCTCGTCCAGCCTCCTTAGTTCCAGACTTTGAGGAAGCTGTCCCAGGAGCCAGTGGCCACAGCCATCCCATCAGCTGTGACCCCTAGGCAGCTGACCCTGTTGTCATGGCCAGAGAGGATGCCTGAGGAAGAGGGAGAGGAGTCAGCCTGTTTGCCCTGTGCTGCTTTGGCAGAGAGCACATGTGCAGATGCAGGAATCTACCATTAGATGGCCTTGGACTTTCAGCCTTGGCAGGGACCGAAAAAGGATTATCCTAAGGGGCAGGGTTTCTTTTATGGCCAATCTGTAAGGAAGTCGGTGGGGGGTTGGGGGGGTAGTGCGGAGGGATAGGAAAAGTTGGCATTGACTTGTGCTATGGGAAAAGCAAGGGGTGAGGTGCCTGGGTGGTTTAGTTGGTTAAGCATCTGCCTTGGGGCTCAGGTCATGTCTCAGGGTTCTGGAATCGAGTCCCACACCAGGCTCCCTACTCAGCAGGTAGTCTGCTTCTCCCTCCCCCTCTGCCGCTCCCCCTGCTTATGCTCTTTCTTTCTCTCAAATAAATAATAAAGTCTTTTAAAAAGTAAAAAAAAAGAAAGAAAAGAAAAGAAGGGGCATCTTGGTGAGCACTGGAAAGTGGGGAGGTAGCTCTTTAGTCTCATGCCTGAGTTTCCAAATGAAGAGACTGCGAGGCCCAGAGAGGAGTGACTTGCCTGAGGGCCCTCAGCTCCTAAGCAACAGAATTCAGATTTGGCTCCTGACTCTCAGGCCAGTGTTATTTTTGCTCAGCACCTGGCCTCTCCCAAGAGAAGCCACACTATGTGATTCAGCTTCAGACCAGAGTGGTCCCAGAGAAGCAATCTCCTAGGTCAGGGTCAGGGCCCCCAGATCGCTCCAGACAAGATCTTGATTCTGCTTATTGCAGTTGCCTGAGATGCCCCTGAAACTATAGAGGCCCTGGAGATCCAGACATGACTGGACATTTCTAGTCTATAGGTCTCTGGTGTCACAGGAGCTCCTTTGGCAGGAAGCAGCTAGAGCTTTAGGGCCCTGGGCGGTAGAGAAGACCCTCTAAAGAAGATGGTCCTAGGTTGGGGACCAAGAGGTACTGGATTGTAGGGGTAGAGCTCAGAGTCATCCAGTAATTAGGAAATGGTAGAGAGTCCCCCAGAAAGGGAGCTTGCAGCTGAGGTGGCAGCAGGGGGGCTGGCCCTTACCCACACGCTCGCCCTTCATGGAGTCCCAGATGTTGCAATTGAAGTCGTCGTAGCCTGCAAAGAGCAGGCGGCCGCTGAGGGAGAAGGCCACAGATGTGATGCCACAGATGATGCTCTCGTGGGAGTAGGCAGTCAGCTCCTGGTCAGCCCGCAGGTCAAACAGGCGGCAGGAGGCGTCGTCCGAGCCTGTGCAGATGGCCTCTCCGTTGGGGAAAAACTGGGTATAGGTGGCAAAGGGAGTCAGGACTCCGCCCTGGATAGCTCTGCTCGCTTCCTCTCTCTGGCTCCTGCCTGGGTGGCGCCAGAGCAAGCTCTTTCCCTCAGCCTCTCTGCCTTTCCCTTCCCTAGCACTCTTCACCTCTGACATTTATGCCACGCCAGCTGCATGCCAGTGGCTCCCCTACACCCTTCACTTGCCCCTCACTACAGCGCAGCAGGCAGGCATTATTTCCACATTGCCCATGAGAGCACGAGGCTCCGGGAGAGTGGGCAGCTTGCCCAGGGTCACATGGCTAGAAGGGCAGAGGCTCTCCCAGACTCTAGGCTCCAGGCTGGATCAGAGTGTATATCTCAGGGCCAAGTGCAAATGCATGACCTGAGTCTCATCATGATGACATAGGGGCCTAACATCTACAACTTACTCTCCAGGGAAGAAAAAATAATAATAACAAAAGATATCTATATCCACATCTAGGTGTATGTGTCCTTTTGATCCATCCCTCCATCTACAGAGAATGATACAGCAGGTGTGGTAAAATGCTAGCAGTGAATATGGATGAAGGGTAGATGGGAGCTCTTTTGGTTACTTTCTCAACTTTTCTCTAAGGTGAAATTATCCCAAACAGGAAAGTTAAAAAGAAAAGGGGGAGGGAGCTGGATGGGGGCGGGGAGTTGGGCCTGATGAGGAGGTCTGGGGAGTTGGGGTGCAGTGGGGGGGCTCACACAGATAGCATTGATGTCAGACTCATGGCCAGTGAAAGTCTGCCGGCAGGTCCCCTCCCGCACATCCCAGAGCTTGGCGCTGGCGTCACAGGCCCCCGAAATGAAGAGTTTGAAGTCAGGAGACACAGCCAGACTCATGCAATCCCCTGTGTGTCCCACAAACACCGTCTTTTGCTGCCCGGTCTCGATATCCCACAGAGCACTGCCAGGAGGAGAGAATGCTGTCACTGTGATGGAAAGGCCAGGACAGAGCCACGCCTCAAGCCCTGGCCCCTATGGGACCCCCATAGTATTCAGTCCTTACCAAGTGGTGTCCCCAGAGCTGGTCACAATGTTGTTGTCATCCAGGAAGCGGCAGCAGGAGAGATATCCTGGGGGGGTTGGGGTAAGGACAGTGCCCTGGCTGCAGCACCACACCAGAGTGCTGCGCCTTTCCCTGGGCCTCTCCAAACGGACAGGAAGAGAGGGTCCATCACTCACCTGTGTGAGCAGACAGCTCCCGGCTGACCTTGACATTACCCTCACGGGATTTGAGGCTGTAGATGGAGCACATGTTGTCCAGCCCCCCGCATGCCACAAAGTTCCCTGATGGTGCATAGGCACAGGTCATGACCCAAGAGGAGCGCAGTGGGATAGCATGCACCTGCAGGAGGGTAGGCATAAGCTGAACCTGAGCTGAGTTCCCAGATGGGGAGGGCAGAGGAGGATAAGCACAATGTCCCCAAGGAAGGACAGGCGGGTGGAGGGGTGGGGAGACAGGTACCTTATTGGTGGTATAGGTGTCCCACACGATCAGCTTCCCATCTTGCGAGGCACTTACCAGCAGCCTGGGGAGAAGGCACCCCACATCACTCAAGCCTCTCTTTCTTGCCTCCTGCCTCCCCCACCAGGTACCCCTCAAGCCTCACTTGGAATCGGTGGCCCAGTGCATGGCATAGATCTTGGCTAGGTGTCCCCTTAACGTCCGCCTTGTCCGCATCTGGACTCTTCCTACAACCTCTAGGCCTGACACCAGCTGCAGAAAAGAAGGCACTAGAAATCAGGCTGAGTAGGGTACATGCCTAGATGTCAGTGTCACAGCCACTGATTTGGACAAGTTTCTGTTCTGTGCCAGGCTCTGGATCAGACCCCCAGCATTAGAGAACTAAGCCCCTGCCCTGGAGTGGCATAAACCAATGTGGGAGAGATTATGCATGGCCAGTGGCATGTTGCTAAGTGTTTAACAAGCATCTCTCTGGTGTGGGGTAGGGGAGGAGGTGGGTGCGGGAGAGTGATTTCCATCACGGAAATATTCCCACCTTGACCAATTTCAAGCCGCCAGTGTGAACTGACGAAACATTGGCTTAGGAAGAGATAGATGCACACATTTGCATCCTAGGCCACTAGGGTCCCTCACAACACTGCAGTACTATTGGGGAGCCCCGTGACCCTGAACTGCACCTCCTGAAATTTGTGGTCCTATGTCCCTTAAACTCTGTCCAGCCTCTAGATTTTGGCTGGGGCTCACGTCAATGGCCTTGACTTGTCATTCACTTGCTTTGTTCTTTTAGGCAAGTTGCTTACCCTCTCCAAGCCTGTTTCCTCATCTCTAAAATGAGGTTGATAGCATCAACTTATGTGGCTGTTGTGAAAATTAAATTATGCCCTGAGGCAATTTAGCCCAACATTTGGTTCACGGCAAGTGTTCAATGTTCACTCCTACTATTAACATATTTAAATCCAACATAAGATGCCACCAACTCTATGAAGCACCACGCTTTCAGATATCACTGAGAAAGAAAAAAAAATGTTGCCAATTATAATCGTAAGGCATCATCTATTTTTGGATGCATCTTGATCTCAGAGATGTCAAAATGTGAAAAGACATGACCTTAGAATTGATGAAGTATGCTATTAGAAAACTAGCAACTGCTCCGGAAGGGCTTTATGGCTTACAAAGTGCTGTCCCTCTCTTCATCCTTGCCACCCTGTGAGGGGGTGTAATCGTTCTTGTTTTATGGTTGAGGTCAGAGACAGCATCTGTATACTTAGCTTCCAATAAGGTGCCTGCCCCAGAGCAGAGCTCACTAAATGTTTGTTGAATGAATTAATTAATGTCGTTCCTCATTCCCAGAACATGCTGTACTAGAGCTTGGGCACCAGGCTCCCCTCCCCTCCGCTCCCCTCTGGCCCTACCTTAGGGGGATAGGAGGTCTCACCTCTGCCAGAGTAATGTCAGCACAGGCTTTCCTGGCATCCTGGGGGAAAGCAGACATCAGGGGGGGCAGAAGGGCAAAGCGAGGAGAATGGGCCCCTGAGGTAGGTGGGCTTGGGGCTCTAGGGTTTGGGGGGCATCTCCAAGATGAGATCCAAGTTCAGAAACTCTGTCACTGCCAGGTCAGGGGTCGCTAAGGTGTCACTCAAGAATGAATCCAGCCCCCGACCCCCCCCCAAGTCTACACTCCCTCGTGTCCCAGTTCCACGTTTTCTGGGGTCCCCTGGTGGGAGGGTTCTGGAGTTACTGCAATCTGCTTCTTGAGCTGCTCTGCTTCCTGCCGTAGCTGCTCCATCTCCCCCATGGCTGATAGGTTGAGGTGTAGCTCCGGCTCCTGTCAGGAACATGGGGTAGGTGTAAGGGGTCCCCACCAGGTCAAGTTTCTGTATCTCACACCCACACCAGACTCAAGGGCTGGAGCCCACTCCAAGAAATAAAGAAATGGCTGGGTGGCTTACACCGGCTCCCCACTAGCCCCTCCACGTTTGGAGTCTGGTGTGCAGCCAAGCCCGGCCTTGCCCAAGCCCTCCCCTCAGACCCCGGGCCCGACCAGCAGTGCCATGCCAGCTCCCTCTTACTTGGACTCTGACTGCACCTCTCCTGGGTTTCCAGCTCCAGTTCCCAGGCACCTCTTCACTCCCTCAGCTGCGACGCCAACCCGTCACCTGCCCCAGCTCTGCTGCCAGAGGAGCTGGCCTGGCCTGGCCCCAACTCTGGGGGGGTTGGGGGGAGCACTGACAGAGAAGGTAGGGCCAATGAGGACAACGTCAGGCAAATGAAATCAGCTGGCAACAGTGTGGAGAGAGGGCAGGAAGGGAGGTGTGTGGCTTCCAGAGAGCCTTGGGCCCAGCCCAGGGGACCAGGGGGGCGGTAAGTGGGAGCAAGAGTGTGGGGTGATAGGAGCAGCCCCCCCACAAGGCCTGGGGGGAAGAGGGGTCGAAGGGGCGCTTCCCTGAGCAGTCTCCCTGTAGGCAGAGATAAGAGCATCAGGCCCCATGGGATTAGAGCAAAGCTGTGAGGATTAAAGGTTGGGGTTTGGGAGGAGTACAGAGAAGCAGAAGCAACCACAGCTCCAATGCCACCCCCACCCCCACCCCAGGCCCTGTCTCCCACCAGTGCTGATGATCGTGGCAGTCAGGACCTGCCTAGCAACTGGTCCAGGAGCCAGAATATGAGGGAGAGAGGTGGCCCATTATCAATCCCCAAGATTTTGTCTCTAAGCTCAGGGTTGTGGGCAAAAGGGGTTCTGGCAAATATAGGCAGGGTGCAGGCAGGAGCTGAGATTAGAAGGGACTGATCTGGATAATCCTTATTCTCAGCAAACCCCAACCAGCTGCCTCTGGGTCTGATCCTGGGGGTGGGGAAAGGTACAGGGGATCCAGAGATAGGGATGGACAGGCCTGCTCCTGCTCTGAGTAGACAGAGTGTGGGAAGTGGGGTGCAGCCTCAGCCTGGCTTCCATCTGGGGTCTGGCCCATTCCTTGCCCCCATGACTCACGGAGTCCTGCTGGGGTTGTGAAGGCTGGAACCAGAGGGATCAGGCTGCTGCTATATGTCTTGGCCAAGCTCAGAGAGGGAAGACAGGGCTTAGAGTTAGAGGCCCAAGGAGCAGCTGTCAGGGGTTTGGGTCCATTTGCATGTGGGGAGCAGGTGGCCCAGATTTCCCTGACAAATCACGGGTTTTGAGTGGCCCCGCCTCTGGGAGGCCCAAAGACACCTGTCTCCTCCCAGGCCTGTCACAGCCACTCCCTGCAGCAGACACCACAGAAACTGTGATACACTCGACTGGGCCCTGGCTGAGGGATCTTCAGATGTTTATTACAAGCCGGGACAGGGCACTAGGGTTATCCTCCCTCTCATCTCCACATATGACACAGTCAGGCCCTATATCCCCTGCCATTTGTTTCCAGGGAGGTGTCCTTGGTCTGTCCTAGGGCTGGAGGTCCATCAACCAGGCCTGGTGAGCTCTAGGCTAGTCTGTGCAGTTATCCTCTGAGTCCAGGGCTGGACAGCCCTTGTGATCCCCAAGGTAGTAGGGGTGCAGGGGCAGAGAGCTCACTGTTCTGCTCCCATCACATGGGGGCCTCTCAGGGGTCCTGGCATCAACATGGCGCTTCACAAGCCAAGTGGCCACATCCCAAGATGCTGGCTCAGCCCCTCATAGTTCCTCTCGGACCCGAGGCAGTTTCCCAGTCTTGTCCTGGACCCGCTGCAGCCTGCGGCTGGGGGGTTCTGGGGAGGGGTCTCTGCTGGGCATTTCTTCCTCTTCTTCTTCCTCCTCCTCTTCCTCCTCTGGCTCCTTTAGCAGCTCTTTGGCTTCTGTCCACTCCTGAGGAGTAGGGAGGAGAGTCTGGCCCCATCCCCTACATCATCTGGGCCGGAGGACCCTCCCTAGGACATCTCAGCCACCGCCCTCATCCTTCACACACCAGGAGGGACATCCCTTCCTCCTCCCATGCCTCCTCACCTGCTCCCTGTGCTCAGGCGCCCAGGTGTGCCACAGTGCCAGGGCGCAGCGCCGCCCGCGTGTCACAGCCCACACACCATGGGGATTCTCCCCACCGGAGCTGAAGGCCACAAGCCGTCCACAGCGAGGCCGAACCTGAGCCTAGGGGATGAGGGCAGCTTCAGCGCCACGGCCAGGTGCTCTTGGAGAACTTGGCCCTGACTCCCTATGGCCAGTGGCAGGCAGGTACACAAGCATTCAGCTCTTCTGCTCATCACTTCCCACTCCTTAATTCAGGGACCATGGATGGGGCAGTGGGGGGAAGGGGGAGATGGGAAGTCAGCCTCAAGTTGGGGAGCACAGATGCCAGACTGAAGCTAGAGGAATCAGAGCCAAAGAAAAGGGGCCTCCTCACCCCCTGCCCAGGCCCTGACTTGTCCTACCCAACCCTTCAAACCCCAGGTGTGAAGCAATCAGAGGGTATGAATGCAGTACCACACTCTGGGTACTGGGGATAAGGATCTTGGGGACATTTTTGCACCTCAGGGAGGCCTTGGATTATCAGGAGCTGGTGGCAGTCAGCAGAGAAGGAGGTATCTGGGTAAGACAGAGCAGCACCTAATGCAAAATCACTGCCCCTCCCCTTCTGCCCAATTCTAGCTCCTGGTTTCTACCTGGAATAGGGCCTTGGGGACCTGTGCTTTCACCCATCCTCCTTGAGGGGGTGAGGCAAACACTGAAGGCAGGGTCTGGAGGGGCCACTTGAAATCTCCTGGGAAGATGTGATCAACCTCTGCTAGGAGAACCCCCAAAACCCAGACAAGGAGTGAAGAGGGCTGGGAGACCAGGAAAGGAAAGGGTAAATGCTCCCCCACCCCCCATTTCCCTGCATTTGCCTCTGCGAAGCTTCTATTTTGAATTCAGAGCCCACAGCTGGGCTCCCTGCCCACCCCCACCCCTCACCCCCCTACCCCCACTTACTGTGACTGTGAGGGCATTGGGCTCTGTGAAGAACAGGTCCCCACCGTGGAAGTCATCGTTGAGGTAGAGGAGCCCACTGCAAAGGGAGGAAGCGGCAGGCAGTGAGACCCCAGCCCAGGTCCACCTGCCTGACCCCTGGGGTGGGAGTGCTGCCCACCTGTAGTCCCGATAGGTATAGGCTGGGGGCTCCCGCCAGCACTCCCCCGTGTCAGGGTCCAGGACACAATTGTCTGCATGCACCGGGTGACTCAGGTCCATGCGCTGGTCCTGCTCTCCTGGGAAGCAAAGGGACGTGGTGAATGCACCTGTGCCCATCCGCTGCCACCCATCCTCGCCCCGTGGTTTTGGGGGATCATGGCTGGGCAGAGGAGCTAGGCCCTCACCCGGGCAGGAGAGTCAGGAGCCCACAGAGTCTGGGGATGCTAAGAGTGTGCAGTGCCCGGCCGGGGCGCAAGGTCGGGGAGGCACAGCTAGGGTCCCTGGCAGTCACCTTCTATGGCGCTACGGCACACCAGCTGCGTGAAGGAGAGATGCAAGGGCCGCTCCGGGGAGAAGTAAGCCTGTGTCAAGGTCCTCACACGCTCGCTCACCTCCAGAAGCAGCTTAGCCCCCTGACTGCCCACAGCTCCAGTGTGTGCCAGCTGCAAGCCCGGAGAGAAAGGATGGGAAAGGAGGGGGCAATGGAAGGGCGGCCCTGCCCCAGCCCCTGCCCTACTTCCATGCCCTCCACCCACGGCTTTGGTCTCAGCAGCCAGCTCTGTCCTGCTCCTTCCCATTGGCTCTGTGACCATAACCCAGGTTCTGATGTCTTAGAACACTTCCCCTCCTGCCTCCCTCAACTCTAGGTGGGTGGTGAAGGGTGGTTGGGGGCCCTTGGGTGTTCTCAGTCCCAGGAGACCCCTCCATGGGAGAGGCCCAGGCCTGGGCACCCAGCCTCCTGCGTGCCCTCTCCTCTGATTCTGGGCATCAGACCAGGGCACGGGGGCCTCCTCTTACCTGTGCAGCCTTGAGCACTGTGAGCCCCTCGAAGCGTTCATGGGGGCTGTGAGGGGAGCGGCGGCCTCGATAGCCAGATCTGGCTCCAGCCTCAGTGGCATCCTATGGAGGGAGAGAGTTGGCTGTGGAGTCTCACTCCCTAGGCCCCAGGCCATGCCCCACCTCCCTGCCCACAGGGCTACAAGACCCTCCTCCGATCCTCCCTCTCCACAAAAGAGGCTAGCAGCCTGCAGGGTCCTCTGGTGACTCCCGTTCCCTGAGCTGCTGCCCCTTCCCACAGAACGACTGTCTTCAGGTCTATATCATCACTTTCTGGTAAAGATCTGGAATTCCACCAGCCAAGGGAGCTATGCCCAGAGCTCTGAAAAGCCTCCTACAGTGGAGAAGGGGCCTCTGAGAGGGCAGGGGTGGTTAGAGAAGGGGGGGCAGGAAGGGCTCGCTCATTCGTTTCTGATGAGCCAAGGATAGAGGAGTCTTTCCAGAACCAGGGTCCGAGTAGCAAGTTGGATAGTCAAGGCCGGGTCCTGGGCAGCTCGAGGTGGGGAGACAGCATCAGCCGAGGGCCCTCTCTCTGACACCCTTGACACACTCCTGGAGGATGTGGGAACCCTGGTGCTGAGCCCCAACTACTCCACCACCTACCCGAGTCTTACTCCCTGGGGGGCTCCTGGTATCTGGATGTCGCTTTCCTGACATCTATTCTTTTGGCAGCTTTTTGCCACCACTACCCAGTTACCCTGTATATAAACCCCATCTCTGAGAGACCACATACTCACCCAAGCCATCTAACCTCCCCTTCTGGTATGTATTCATTTGACAAATTTGTACTGAGCACTTCCTATATGCCAGGCACTGTTATGGGCAGAGGACACACCCGTGGACATGAAAAGTTCCCTGCTCTCATGCGGTTTGTTTGTTTATTTTAAAATATTTATTTATTCATGAGAGACACACAGAGAGAGGCAAAGACACAGGCAGAGGGAGAAGCAGGCTCCCTGTGGGTAGCCCGATGTGGGACTTGATCCCAGGACCCCAGGATCATGACTTGAGTCAAAGGCAGATGCTCAACCACAGAGCCACCCAGGTGCCCCTATAATGCCCCTATATTTTGAGTAAATAAACAAACCAACCAACCAGATCAATTCAGATGGTGATAAGTGGTATACAGAAAATTATAACAGGGCTACAAACTTGAGAGTGCCCAGGCAGTGGTTAGGGGGCAGCAAATTGCTGAGTGAGGTGACATTTAAATTGAAAGCAGGGATGCCTGGGTGGCTCAGTGGTTGAACGCCTGCCTTGGGCCCAGGGCATGATCCTGGAGACCTGGGATCGAGTCCCACGTTGGGCTCCCTGCATGGAGGCTGCTTCTCTCTATGCCTATGTCTCTGCCTCTCTCTCTGTGTGTCTCTCATGAATAAATAAATAAAATCTTTAAAAAAAATAAATAAATTGAAAGCAAATGATATGAAGGAGCCGCTTGAATATGTGAAAGAAAAAAATGTTCCAGGAAGTAGAAATAGCAAGTGCAAAGGTCCTGAAACCAGAGTGAATTTAGTGTGATGGAGGAATAGAAAGAAGGGCTGATACTTGAGAGTTATCCCTGACTCCATCCTTTCATCCATCGTCTTCCACATAGATTTAGTCCTGAACTTCTCTAGCTTTTTTTTTTTTTAAGATTTCATTTATTTATTCATGAGAGACACAGAGAGATGCAGAGAGAGAGGCAGAGACACAGGCAGAGGGAGAAGCAAGCTCCATGCAGGGAGCCCGATGCGGGACTTGATCCCGGGTCTCTAGGATCACACCCTGGGCTGAAGGCGGCGCTACACCACTGAGCCACCCAGGCTGCCCTGAACTTCTCTAGTTTTGATTTTCTAGATAGTTCTCATCTGTCCCCCTCTCTTCATTTCCTAGAAACGAGGATATAACCTAAGGCAGTGGCACTCTTGCATCATCCCAGAAGCTTCCCCTCCTTCCTTTCATCTCCCAGTGCATTCTCCACAGTTCCACTAGAGGGATCTACCAGTTCTGGAGGATGGTGACTCCAGACCCAGCTCCTGCTAATGCATGGGGACAGAAAAGCTAACCCCTCCTTATATTCTCCGATAAGCTGTCCACCAGTGACAAACCCCTTGGCAGGGTACAGAAGGCCCTTCGTCATCTCTCCTGTGTCTCCACCTCTGGCTTCTCTCTGTTACCTCTTCTGGATAACATACATCTTGATGACATAGTGACAGCTAATCCTGAGCACTTTTTTTTTAAGGTTTTTTTTTTTTAAGAT